GGCGTGGGCGCTGGGGGTCGACCAGGGACTTGGGGGCCTGGCGATCTGCAGCTCTGGGCGCGCCCACCCCTTCCAGAGACCAGAGAGCTGGCGAGAGGCAGAGCCGCGGCAGGAAGGGGGCGGGGAAAAAAACGACCTGAACCCGCCAAGACTAGGCCTTTCTCCATTTCTCGCCCCCTACCCTAAGAACCACTCTGAGGGTACAAGGAACAGAGGACTGGAGGAGAGGGGTTACTCCGGGTGCAGTGTGGAGGACCACCAGGGAGGCCTGGTGTCCCTGCACTGAAGCCCCAGGGTGACCTGGGCTTAGGAGTGGTACAGGGGAGAGGGTTGAGGAAGAAAAGACACGGTGGAGGGGGCTCTCCACCCACCAGGCTCATTCATTCCCAGCCCAGTGGGGCCTGGCGTGGCGGCTCCGGGGCTGTCCTGGAACACTCCGCTCAGGACTGCATGAGGACTGGCAAAGGGAGGCGGTGGCAGGAGGCTGGGACTTAGCAGGAGACCTACCCAGTGTCCCAGTGAGATAGTAGGCAGCCACTGCTGAGCCTCGGTCCCCTTGCCCAGCCATACAGAGGGCCCCGCGGTGTTCCATTTGTGATAGATAGTGAGGGCTTGGGCATGACCCGGGACCCAGAGGACACGCACAAGCACCCACAGCCCCAGTCCTGCAAGGTCATGTGCCATGTATAACGCACTCCCACGCCCCACCCACAGACCCGGGCCAAGGAGGACACAGTACAGTCAGGGCTTCCTGGCAAAAGGGGTTTTCTGCTGGACACAGATGGGTTATGGGCGGGGCCAGGTCGAGACTGGCAGGGGCATGAGACCTGGCCACCCAGGGTCCTTGGTCAAGCAGGCCAAGCAGAGCCTACTTGTGAATAAGGCAACTCTCAACCCACAGCAAGTTGCCTTCAAGGAGAGATTTCTCCAAGTCACTTGGGGCTTGTCATCAGGCATTGGGAAGGTGGCCGGAGCCACGTCTGGGGGGCCGAGTCCAGCTGCAGCAGCAGCAGCAGCAGCAGGGGGGG